CTCCCTCTCGCACTCCTCCTGCTTGTGTTCCCTCTCTCGCTGTGTCTCTCTCTGTCAAATAAATAAATAAAATTAAAAAAATAAAAATAAAAATGGGTTTCATTCTTTGGCCCTCTCTGGTCTAAATAACATTTTTAAAGTTCTTCGGGTACTATTAACAGTCTGTAGTATTCGGAATGGTGCTAAGCAGGATCCCTCGGCACAGACGCTCAGATTTGAAGGAGGACAGCCCTGCTGCTGACATACTTACAGAAACAGTTACAATTTTATCCTGTAAATCGGAGATTATCTGTGCCCTCTGGACTTGATTTGCTGGGGCGGGGCGGGGGGATATATTGAAGCTAGTTCTTGTGCTAACTTCTTGGAACAGTTTCCTAATTAATGCACCAGATGTTTTGTTACATGGGCCTTGCAGACTCCCCGAGCTCTCCATGAGACTTCCCTATGTAGTTATTGGCTTATAGAGGAATGTTCAAGTATATCTCTTAGGTTCATTTGATTAATACAAGCGAAGGTTGATTTTAATAAATGCTCATTGAATGGCACATCGAAGAAATGTGAATATTCCTAGATTCCCCAGACCGCATTTGGCCAGGGGGAGGCAGTCAGAGGCATAGACGATAGGAATGGTTTCGATACTGGCTGCACTCAGAAGGATCTCTGCTACTCGAAGACTTCCCCTTGAACGTGTCTCTGCTGCGGGTTTGATTTCATAGCAGCTAGAGTCCCTTTCCTTACCTCCTGGCATGCGGTGGGCAACTTGGTTGCTTTTACACCCCCTCCAGCTGGCCTTGCTGATGTGAAAAGTTGCTCTCTTCACCACCATTAAAATTTCGTAGTCTCCTAAAAGGGAAGAATCGTTTTCTTTTTGTTATCAATTTCCTCAATGTAAGGAATTTGGAAGAGCTTTTATGGGACCAGGTCTGATAGCAGTTGCATGACATTGCCTGGTGTCTTACTTGGAATGGACTACCAAGGAGCTGAGATGACGAGGCTGGGGGCCAAGACTTTCTCCCCAGTGAGGGTTTGTTCCCTGGATATTCATGGAGGAGTTGGAGGTGCTTGTCCTTCTCCTCGTGGTTACGCACCTGTCAGCAGAGGCGGGCAAGTGTGCAAACTGCCGCTGGAAAGCCTGAGTTGGCAGCCTCCCTGTGCCCCTCACTACCTCTGTGGTGCTGAGCAGGTTCCTTCAGCTGCTCAGTTTTTCACTTTTCTTGTTGGTAAAGTGCAGATAAAAGAGTTGCTGTGAGGTTTACTGTAAATGGTGTGCTCAGTATAGTCTTGGCACATAATAAAGCGCTTACTAATTATTAGTTACAGCTGTTATCGTTATGTATTTTTTTTCATCGTCGTTACTGCTCTCCATGCTTTATCAGCTGCACCGATCTCCTGTAATGCCAGCTTTTGTGTATAGTAGTAATTTCTTCTCCGGGATTGTCATTCTGTGAATATTAACATTATTTGTGTGCTTCTCTTCCCCCACCTCCCTTGCCCCCCACGTGCTGGTAGCCAAGCTTTTTCCGATGGAAAAATCTCCATGAAAATATAATGGGCGAATGAGTTTATATCAAATGCCTTCATTACACTTTAATTCAATAGATCTCTGAGGCAGGACAATTTATAGTTTGGTGAAGGTTTAAATTTATTAAATAATGCCGTGTGAGAACATTGAAGGAAGAGATGCTGTAATTCTTCATTAGCTCCCAAGATCACTAAAGCATCATTCTTGCCCTCAAATGGGTTAAAATCTCTTTGGAGAAATGAGACAAATGCACATAAGAAGTTAAGAATGTTTATGGTTGAAAGTGCCAAAGTATCAAGTATAGTTGTTAAGATAAATTAAGGAAAGGAGGAGAGATCTTTCTAGGCTGGCATGGTTTAAAAGCAGGTAGGGCTTGAGTTCAGCCCTTGAAGGATGTATAGGATTTAGTTTGGTATAGATTTTTAGGAAGTCTTTCCCATAAGAGTGGGGGAATTTTGGTAGTGGGATTATATTTTGGGCAGTAAAGGGGCAAGGAAACTTTGACTGGTCAGTCCCTCTACACCCACCCCATCCCCAGTTCACTTTTTAGTCAAAAGCCAACTCCCTGTGTCTGTGTTCATTCCCAGTTCCTCTTGAATCCTTCGGGGATTTATTTGGCCTGTTTGCCTTTTTCATGCAACACCATGCTCTTCCCTCGCCTTGATTGTTTAGTAGGGCAGGACACAGATTCCCTATGCCTTCCGTAGCCAGGTGTTTCTGAAACATGAATACAAATCATGGTTTTAAGAGAGATTATTATTGCAATAGGGAAATAAAGGTTAACAAGAAGAACAGCAAGAATCACCGAAAGAATCTTAAAATGTAAGGTTGCTACTCGATAGGTACGTTCTCATGGTCTGTCTTACAGATTCCTTTTGCTGTGGGACTCCTTCTAGTTCATAGGTCTCTGGTCTCCAGCCCTGTTCTGTGGTGGACGGAGACACTGACTTTAACCAGAAGTGACCTGACCTGGCTCACATCCAGGTGGGGCGTGAGTGTCAGTTCCTCTCAGGACTAGCTTCCTGATCTTTTCTGGTGTTTTCCCTCTTGCCTCTGGCTGCACTCTTCATCACTTAGGTCCTTCAGCCTGTCCCAACATTCTTGGGCCTTGGAGCCTTCGCTGAGGCTGCAGGAAGCCCCAGGTGACTTCCAAAGATTCTTGCCCTAGGCTTCGTGCCATCAAACCTGACCCAGCCATCACTCATTTTCTCCTTTGCAGGCAAGGTCTCCTTGGCCTTGTAATTTGAAATTGCCATCTGGTTCATGTCTTGCTAGCATCCTTGGGACCTTGATAATGAGAACCATGATCCCATTTGTTTTATTTTGCAAACTCTTTTCATAGCATTTTTAATGTCAAAAGCACATTTTTATGTGCTTTCAAAAATAAACTCATTTAATTCCAGAGGGAGATTTCCAACATTATATCGATTTCCACAGATTAACCAAATACAGTAAAATGCCTGCCTTTATGGAAGTCACAAACCATCATATTAGGATATAAATTGCTTAAAATTCTCTTTCTGATCATCAAGTAATTAATATGATTTTTAACGAACAGTTGCTGTATGCATAGCAGATACATGTTGCTATCAGCAACACCTAAACAGTTTGTCTCCCTTTTTAACATTTGGACATTTTCACAACATTGACCTGTGATTGATGGTCTGACAGTTTTATTTGTAATATGACTTGAGTCCTTTCTCATACACTATTTTGTTAAAAATGTTGTATTTAATTTTGGGAATGTAAATACAAATTTTTCTTTGTAAATACTGCCCCCTTCCCCCTCCTCAAAAACAAAAAACCTTATATTGGGATATATATATACAGTCTGTGAAGTCTGGGTGATATAAGCCAAGAGACATCTACCAGAAGCAAGTTAATCCAGGAGATATTTTCTGAAATGTGTTTATAATTGACTATTGTAAAATTGAAGCATAATTTTAAAGTCTAGGACAATCACTTTCAAAAGCCAGATGTAAGTGCATATATTATTTCTTGACTTTGGGATGATCTGTCTTATTGTTCTGTAGAGTAGACAAGAAATCCTGACATTTGTCTGAGCTAAGGTATTTGAATGGAGAATCTTTGAGTGTGTGCATTCCCAAATGTGACTAAGTCAACTTTACTAAATTCTTTTCATTCAGCTTTTTTAATATTAAAATTTGTATTATTTCGTGTTCTTGATCTTCCCCTATACTTAGAGCTTGAAAAAAAGTTTAAAAGCACTTAAGAACATTTCTTTGCTTTTCCAATCTGGTAGTCACTCCGTATAGTCTCCTGTTACGCAAGGGTATTTTAATTTTTTAAACGTAGTAAGCATAATTGTTTCATACTCTGATAGATAATTCCAATATCTGAAACATTTGTAGATCTGTTTCTGCTGATTCTTACTCTTGGTGTCTTGTTTTCTTGTGTTTTTTAAGGTTTGTAAGGTTTTTCTGTTGATTTTATTTTTTTCCCCCTGTAATCTGCTCATTCTCCTTCACAATTATTTGTATGGATTAATTGAGGCCTCGGATAAAAATGTCTTCTTCAGAGGGGAGTGCCTGGAGGTACTATTTCAGAGTGAAACCACCTCACACCAAGATCAGGGCTTGGGTTCCCCGGACCACTCAGGTGAGGGGAACCCAGGCAGCAAACCCAGGACAGCTGGCCTGTGGCCATAGGTTTTCAGAAACAGGTTTGTTTTCTTTCTCTCTTACCTGTTTTCTGCTCAGTGGCCAAGGCCAACCCTGCTGCAGCCTGGAGGAGCTGGGTGGCATTACTTTGGTTCCTCTGTAATCTGAGGAGTTAGAGACCCAGCTGGCGTGGGGGAGGGATGTGACTGTGGTGTTCTGTGCTCTGCCTTGCTTTTATGTTTTCTCTAGATTTTGCCCTGGTTGTTTCTAACTGTCTTGTAACTCTCTTGTTTTTAAGGAGTTTCCTTCCTTCCTTCTTTCCTCCCTCCTTCCCTCCCTCCCTCTGTCCCTCCCTTTCTTCCCTCCCTCTCCCCTCCCTCCCTCCCGTCCTTCCTTTATTTTAACTGAGTGTTTTTCTGGTTTTCAGTAGAATTGGTCCACATAAGCTACTGTACTAGAAATGGAAATCTTTCTTATTTGATCTTTAATAATCCCGTGAGGTGCATGTGCAGATACATGGCCGGGCTGCTTTAACTGAAAAGGAAAAACTAAAAAGGAAACGGAAGCCGAGAGAAGTGTAGTGGTTGATTTATGATCACACAACTAAGTGGCACAGCTTCAGACTCCTAAGTCTGAGTCTACTTTTTTTTTCCACTCCAGCCTTTGAGCTTTCTTCTACTGGGTGTATTCTCAGAATTTTGAATGAAGCAGGCCTATGTTAAGGAGGTCTTTAAAAAATATGCAATACCTTTTACAAAATTGTTTAGATCATTGACTAGTAAGGATTATATTGGAACAACTTTTTCCAGAGATGGCATTTTAAATGGAAAACAGTAATTGCTTTCTTTTTCTTGCAGCTGAAGTGAGTAGTGAATACAGTATGGACAAGGCAATGATTGAATTGGCCATGATGGATTGGGAACTAAGCCATTATGTAAAGGCTGTTCAATCTGCAATAAGTCATGTAAGTTTATACCACTCACCTGGTAATATTTGGTTACAGCTCACTGACCTGAAAACAGAAACACATCATCAAAATTCTTCTCTAGCCTTTAATATTTCCTTATCATTACTGTAGCGGCCGTTAATTTCTTCTTAATTAAGAAGTTTATAGAAAAGGAATCTTAAGTAGTTTCCCAGCTAGGTCACCTAGGTTTATTTAGAATATTACATCTATTTTAGATTTTCTTGCTGGTTTTTTTTTTTTGGTCTTGAAATCTTTAGTGTAAGCCCCCTTCGAATGTGAGTAGATTTTTGTAAAACGCTAAAAATTGCATAGAACATGTTTTTATTGTTATGTTTGCTGCAGCATACAATTTAGACCAGGCTTAGTTACTCATTCTCCAGCTTTAACTAATATGCAGCTATTGCAAAATTCATAGGATCAGATAATATGGGAGAGTTTTAGAGCAAGTTTAAAAATAAAGAAGGCTGACATTTTAGTTTTTCCAGAAGCCAAACTTATTTTTGTTGACTCCAGCTGTCACAGGAACAACACATAAGGCAGTTAAGGTGGGAACATAGCGACATCCTTTTCAGCAGTACTGGGTTGAGTAAGAAATGAGCAATATGATTGCAGTAATATTTCTGAGAAGTCCTTTGTCCTCTGAGCAGTGGAAACTCCCCTTTGAACTGATTTCAGATACCTGTGTAATAGGGTGTCTTGTACTTCTGGTTTCTTTATTTGCCTTTTCTTACTTTTATCTATGGGAAAATGCCAAAAATCAAATATTTTAGAAGATTGGCTACTGTTCAGTAGAAGATAAATTTTTAAAAATGGTTTATTACTTAAGCTATACTTAAATGAGCATTACATAATTATATGTTCATAGTTACATGAAGTTCTTTCTCTGTTTTTAAAAAAAAATTTTTGGGGGCGCCTGGGTGGCTCAGTCGTTGGGCGTCTGCCTTCGGCTCGGGTCGTGGTCCCAGGGTCCTGGGATCGAGCCCCGCATCGGGCTCCCTGCTCGGCGGGAGGCCTGCTTCTTCCTCTCCCCCTCCCCCTGCTTGTGTTCCCGCTCTCTCTGTCTCTCTCTCTCTGTCAAATAAAAAAACAAAAACAAAAAAAACTTTAAAAACAATTTTTTTTAGTTTTTTTTTTAGTGGTTAGTATTTATTAAGTATAGGATTTGTGACTTAAGAATATCTGCTTATATCCAAGAAGTAGTAAACTCATTCAGCTTGTAAAAGTCTGATTTTTTTTTTTACCACTGTGGCTGTTAGTCCTCGGACTGTGAATATTCCTTCCATAGGAAAATATGAAAGTGATCTCGTGTTGGGGCATTTGAAAGTGGGTAACAAAAAGCACTTAGACCAGAAGTTTTCAACTCCCGCTGCCCCTCAGAACCAGCCTGTCCCTATTCTAATGAGATTCTGATTTCATTTCTGGAGCAGGATTGGGGCACCAGTGTTTTTTAAAAAACTCATTCTAATATGTATCCATGGTTGGAGACCACTGACTTAAAAGAACAAGGCTGACTTTATAGAATAAAGTATGTTTGCCACCAAGATCAGAGTTAGGCCTCTTATATAGATCAGTCCTGCTTTGACCCTTACATCCTATGGAGGTTATTTGATAGGCCTTTCTGTCTTTAACTTTGATGTGCAAATGTAATAGCACAGTGTACATTATAGATAAGAAAACAGATTTTGGAAGTTAAAGAACTCTATGAATTTTTTCACTATTAAACTCTAGGAATCACAGATGTAGGGACATAGTGGGGATATGACGACATTTTGAGGGAAATAATTTTACACTTTTCATATACTATGCACTCTACATACTTAGAAGTTATGGACATTGTTATCTTACTGCTTATTTCAGTGAGGGGTAAAGAATGAACAGCAGCTTGAGAAGGGCTGGAATGGTACAGTTCTTTAGGAATAGCAGTGGTTTAGGGATCGGAAACTCTTCCAACTCTTCTACCCTTGGTTCTTCCATTTTCTAAGTTATGATCGTGGGTCAAGAAACGTAACCTTTAGGAACCTCATGCTCTTCATTTATAAAATTCTTGGCCTGCCTATTTCATAAGATTATTATGTGAAGCAGATTAGATACTATGTATCAAACCTTTGACATTCCTAAATTTGATGGCAACCTAAGATACTGGGTTTTTGCAAACTCAGACTTCCAAACATATTCCTTAAAAAGGTAGAACAAGATCTTTCTTAAAGGCAAGTAGTACTTCCATTTCTATAACATTTCCAAAATTCTGACCCTACCCTGTGGTTTCGCTGTTGAATTTTCATGTAATCATAGAAATTTAAAAAAAAAATGTTTTTTAATCATCATGGAGCGTTAGAGTGTATTGTTTAAATAGAAGTCTCTCTCCTACTCTCACCTTCACAGGATTCTGAAGGTCACACACCTCTGAAAAGGTTTTAGAAGTTTATTTGGGAACCTTAGGGGTGTGGATCCATTTACCAACAATCTCTGGGAAGTCCCTTTGGCATGCAGCGGAAGCTCTCAAATTGCCTTTCTTTGTCCTCTGCGAAAACAGAGCTACTATATTCTACAATGCGTGAAAGATTTTATTTAGAATCGGTATTTCTTTCAGTGCTCTTCAACTTAAAAATAAAAATAAAAAAAATTAAGATTTTGTCCCAGCTAGTTGATAGAGGGGAATATAATGCGGTGATCCCTAAAAAAAAAAAAAATCACAGTCTGTAAGCCCTTTATTAAAACTTCCAGCATACATGGGTGTATACCTGTCACAACTCTTTAGAACATTCATGTCAAACCACAGAGAGCTGTGTCTGAACTCTTTGGAGACTCAGTCATGAAGCACACACATGACGACAGTGCTTTGAAACCTGTGAAATGGCACCCAGACACCCAGTGGTACAGTGACTTCTTTTCTCACTGGGACCGCCAGGGAAGAACTTGTCTCACTTTCACGTTGAGAACAGTGATGTTCTGAACATTACGCCTGATGACCTAATGTTTTTTCCCCTGATTTCTAAGCTTTTATTAGTTGAGTATATTGAAGGGGCACCGTTGTTTTCATTGTTCTCAACAGGGGGCTTCTTGTTTTCAAACATTCACTGAATAAATATTTACTAAATACCTATGTGCTAGGTACTTCTAGGTGCAAGAAATAGGTCAGTCACCAAAGCCCACATGACCACCACCTTCAGGATGTCTGGAGTCTAGAGAGAGAGACAAACATTTAACAAAGAGCAATCTTATGTAATGACTTGTGGTGTGTGCAACAAAGGGAAAATAAAGTGTTCAAGGAGACTTAACTCAGGAGCATAATACTGCTAGGGGGTTGGGGAACTCCTTCCTGAGGAAGTGGTATGTAATCTTAAGATGAAAGTCAAATGAGCCTCAACATGGGGATCATGATATATAACTTCTCTGTCTTTGTGACTTTTACGTGAAATGGAAGCATCTTTTTACTGGTTGTGTCATTGTTAGAGTTTCAGACAAGTTGAGAAACTAGGCCAGAGAAAGCCAATTTTTATATAGAGAAAGTTTAAAATATGCAGAATAGTTGAGTAACATGCTTAAGGCTGGTCATTGATTAATTCATTCACAATAGGAGTGCCTACTATGTGCCAGAAACTGAGTAGTAATGCAAGTCATGGCAGCAGTTGATTTAAGAATCATTTTATTACTGATATTCTGCTTCTCAAGCCATTTCACTAGTCGAGCAGGGGTTATGCCTCTCAGAGTGAAACTTTGAATTGGTATTGAATGAACAGTGGTAATGCTGTGCGTTTCTGTACTGTGTATTTTAATGTTTATGTGATTGTTTAAAATTAAACCTGTAGTCCCATCTTGGGGCTTCAGATTCCACAGGATGGATACCAGTTTGGTTCAAGAAATCTTCAAATCTATTTTCAGGTATATGTTTCTCCAAATAAGAGATGATCAAGAGTCCAACCACTGTCATGGCGATGGTCCTTGCAGCTTTGTTGTCACCTTAATTCTGGTGAAAAAGGATAAGCACCATGAAGCTGAATGATAAATGTCCTAAGAGGCTCACTTTAGTTCCTGACATTATTAGCAGTCAGGGATAAAATATACATCCTGTGTGCTTTTTGATGAGCAGTCCAGTCCTAGAGCTTAGCAGGAGTAACCTACAGTATGAGATTCATATTATACTTCGGTGTTTATTTTTTTGTCATGGTGCTTAATTGTGTAACTTTAACAAATTTTCAATCTTTGCCAGATTTTACCTGTATACTGTTCTTTTAGTAGGTACTGCTTCCGTGTGTTAATTTATTGGAAAATCAGAGTATGTGTATTTTCCTTACTTTCCTCTGCTACTATTTTCTTCTGTGCTACGTGCATCTTATAGATTATATAAGATTTTCAAAGCATTTAAATTGGATTGCTGCCATGTATTTGTTTTTGTTTTCTTAAGTCAGTGTTATTTTATAACAGTTCCTACCTGGGGAGGGTAATTATTTTTGTTAACTGAACAGGAGCAACTAGGTGCTTGATTGGTCTACTTGTGTTGTTTCTTATAAATCTGTTTATGGATATGCCTTGTGTACTGTGGTTTTTACTTGATAAGCTAACCTGAACATTTAATCTGTCCTTTCAAACTAATATGGTGACAGAAGAGTAGAAATATACCTCAGGTAAGCTGTTGAAACCAACACAATCTTAGGTATAATAAAAACAAGGTGGGTCAAAGGTATAGCTTACCTCAGCCTTGTCATTATGCAACTACATGGTTTAGAACGGTTTTTGACATATCACGTCCCTATGCTTCCTCACCCTTCACCCTTCATCAATTGGTGAGCTTTGCCTTCTGTAAATCTTAAAGTTACCTTAACATCCACCACTTGAACATGAAATCATATGAGGTATCTTGCAAGTTGGGAGTTACCATTTTAGTTTAACCAGATTTGGGGAGCACTTCTCCCTTAGAAAGTGAATGTTTTGTAGTGTCTGAAGGAAGTTTCAGGCCAGAGAATATAATTTATTAGATACGATCATCTACCAACTAA